CCCCCCCCCAACACTCTCTCCTCACCTCTATAAATCTTTATTAAAAGCCTACATTACAGTATGTGTCTTGTCTTGGTGCAATCAGGTTCACAATATCTGCATCTGTAGCTGTCTTTTCATGTCTTCATGTCTTTCATGTCATCACCCATATGTCATCACCCATAAGATCCGTCACATACTTTCTGAGTTATTGCACAGTATTCAAGTGTCTGAAAATGCCCTTTTGTATGCTATCACTATGTACCACTGCTTGGTATGATTTGTCTCAAAATTTTGATCAGTTCCTTATCTTCAGCCATACAATGAGTGTGTGTAGTTCAATAAAGATCTGTTAAATCATCACACTAAAGGGATCAAGTGTCTGACACAGCCCTTCTCTTTGATATCACTATGCGGCACTGCTTCAGTTTTGGTGCAGTCTGTCTCAAAATTTGATCAGTTACAGATTTTCACTCATTCAGTGTGTCTGCAAAGTTTAAAAATATCTTTCAAATATTTATGACAGTTATTGCGCTATCAAGAAAGTGACTGCAGTTACGACAGACTAGTCCCAGTTTCAGTAACTGCTGCAAGTAATACAAAATATATCTCAATGCACATGTTATATGCAAGTTATTAGGTGCATTAATGGAATGCAAAACATATACAAAAATACACTGCCACTACATGTACCCTGTAATGTACCCGTATGTGGATCACTAATATTTCTGCTGCTATTTTGGGTATCATCTTACCTCTGGCTATTTTGATTTCCAGAGCAGTTCTGATTAAAGCCATTAGAGTAGATGTAAAGTGTACAGTCATGTCCTCATCCACTGGCATGTTCATAAGCACCAGGCGCTGAAGGTAGGTAACAGAGAGAAAGATTGTGGTCACAACAAAATCCAATGAATAAGACCAACTATCACTCAGTTATCTATTCTTTTAGTTTATCAAGTTTAAACATAATTCCTGATTCTGATTAAACATAAGTTCTTTCTGATTTATCAATATTCTGTATCACCAAAACTGTAGTGCTGTGTTAATTAACATGAATGAAAATCAAAGTAAAATATTAAGCCATGCAAAAAGACACACATTTTACTATGATTTTCCCACCTTATTTCAATAAGGTAATTTAAATAATGAACACACATACACAGATATTCTGATTATCTGTTTGAAGCATTTTTGAGTCTTTTCATTCTGGGTTATTACGGACACTTAATTTAAGGTAGCACTTTATATATGTAGATGTATAGACACTGGGGAATATATATATATATATATATATATATATATATATATATATATATATATATATATATATATATATATATATATATATATATATATATATATATAGTATCTCACCCCTCACATTCTTGTAAATATTTCATTATATCTGTAGATATGACACTTTGATACAATGAAAAGTAGTCAGTGTACAGCTTATATAACAGTGTACATTTGCTGTCCCACACACAGCCATTAATATCTAAACTGCTGGCAGCAAAAGTGAGTACACCCCTAAGCGAAAAATGCCCAAATTGTGCCCAATAATGTGTGGCCACCCTTAACTCTCTTGGGCATGGAGTTCACTAGAGCTTCACAGGTTGCCACTGGAATCCTCTTCCACTCCTCCATGACGACATCACAGAGCTGGTGGATGTTAGAGACCTTGCGCTCCTCCACCTTCCGTTTGAGGATACCCCACAGATGCCCAATAGGGTTTAGGTCTGGAGACAGGCTTGGTCAGTCCAGCACCTTTACCCTCAGCTTCTTTAGCAAGGCAGTGGTCGTCTTGGAGGTGTTTGGGGTCGGTATCATGTTGGAATACTGCCCTGTGGCTCAGTTTCCGAAGGGAGGGGATCATGCTCAGCTTCAGTATGTCACAGTACATGTTGGCATTCATGATTCCCTCAATGAACTGTAGCTCCCCAGTGCTGGCAGCAGTCATGCAGCCCCAAACCATGACACTCCCACCACCATGCTTGACTATAGGCAAGGCACGCTTGTCTTTGTCCTCCTCACCTGGTTGCCGCCACACACGCTTGACACCGTCTTAATCAAATACGTTTATCTTGGTCTCATCAGACCACAGGACATGGTTCCAGTAATCCATGTCCATAGTCTGCTTGCCTTCAGCAAACTGTTTGCAGGCTTTCTTGTGCATCATCTTTAGAAGAGGCTTCCTTCTGGGACAACAGTCATGCAGACCACTTTGATGCAGTGTGCGGCGTATGGTCTGAGCACTGACAGGCTGACCCCCCACCCCTTCAACCTCTGCAGCAATGCTGGCAGCACTCATACGTCTGTTTCCAAAAGACAACCTCTGGGTATAACGCTGAGCACGTGCACTCAACTTCTTTGGTCGACCATGGCGAGGCCTATTCTGAGTGGAACCTGTCCTGTTAAACTGCTGTATGGTCTTGGCCACCGTGCTGCAGCTCAGTTTCAGGGTGCTGGCAATCTTCTTATAGCCTAGGCCATCTCTATGTAGAGCAACAATTCTTTTTTTGAGATCCTCAGAGAGTTCTTTGCCATGAGGCGCCATGTTGAACTTCCGGTGACGAGCATGAGAGACTGTGAGAGCGATAACACCAAGTTTAACACACCCGCTCCCCATTCACACCTAAGACCTAGTAACACTAACGATTCACATGACGCCGAGGAGGGAAAATGGCGAATTTGGCACAATTTGGACATTTTCATTTAGGGGTGTGCTCACTTTTGCTGCCAGCGGTTTAGACATTAATGGCTGTGTGTTTAGTTATTTTGCGGGGACAGCAAATTTTCACTGTTATACAAGCTGTACACTGACTCCTTTAAATTGTATCAAAGTGTCATATCTTCAGTGTCGTCCCATGAAAAGATATAATTAAATATTTACAGGAATGTGAGGGGTGTACTCACTTTTGTGAGATACTGTGTGTTTGTGTGTGTGTGTGTTTCTTTTATATAAATATGACATACAGACATGGGAATGAAAATATTGACACAATTGACAAAAATTCCTGCATTCATTATATTCCTTAAGGAGTTATATTTCTTTTTAAATAACTATTAGAAAATAGATGCAGAAAATAAGTACAGCCGCTCCTCTACTTACGAATGAGTTAGATTCCAAATGGCTGTTCGCAAGTCGTTATTCAACATAATTTTAAGGGTATACGCAAGTACAAAGATGCTGGGAGTACGCACACTACGTTGCTGCGCGGTGGGAGTAGTGGCCAGAAGTCTTACTACGCGGAATTGGCTCACAGAAAAAAAAAATTGATGTTGCGGACAGGAAATGGGAGCCCAAGGAACACTGTTTGGACTCACAGTCCTCTTCGTTCATATGTCTGAATGTTCGTATATTGAAAGTTCGTAAGTAGAGGAGCGTCTGTATACAAAAACACCTTTTCTTCGTACTATATAATGTGATTCAATCGTTTAGTGTTTCTAGTAATGGTTAGATTTCCAATAAGTAACTTTCTGCTCATTTCCCTTTTAAGAGAGAAAATACTACTAAAACACCCAAGGCATTACATGCTACTTCACATTTTGCTCTGCTCAAAGGGTAAATGTATTATGTAGCTAAATGTAGCTAAAATGAAATCTGGTTTACTTATTTGGTGAATAGCAGAGGAAAATGATTAGAATTCCAATTGTTTTTTCCCCAGCAACATATAAATGAAAGTATGCTTTGCTTCCTACCTACACACAGAAAAAAACACAAGGACACAGTACCGATGCATGTGTTTCACAGAAGCAGGACCAGGGACTATCGCACGCTGGAAAAAGTAAGGCACATGCAAATGACTAATGTCAAAAATGAGATGAAATACACCAATAGAGAAGATGCAAAAATACGCATAACTTCTTACAATATAACTCGGAAGGACACACCTGCAACTGTCTCCCTATCATAAAATATGCACAAAATGTATCCTGATGATTTATTAATATTTTATAAAATAACTATTAGGCGACATATACAAAGTATAGGCTAGGCTAATGAATATAAACAGTATACATAGAAATATATATGTGATATATAATATATATTTCGACGTACAGTAAATAGTTGTTTACACTGGAAATTTTCAATTAAAGCATGGCATGATAAAATGCAGTAATAGTAGATATGCCAAATGCTCAAACATTACAGTTCACAAAAATATGATACAACAAAAATTTTAACAATGCACAGCAGCTGAGTACTAACTGAAACAAACTTCATAAATGTGTGGGTGTCTGCATGACTTCTGACTTATTGAACTGAATTATGAACACAAAGTCTCTTTCTGTACCTTATAAGCAATCTTGGAGGGGCACTTCTTGCCAAGGCCTAGAGGTGGCGACATGTGGGTCAACATCTCATACATGGCAGTATAATGGATGCGGCCACTTGGAGGGAGGAGTCACGGAGGTGTGCCGGTGAGCGCACAGGGCAGGGTGGGCGAGTCCATGGAACAGAGCAGGGGTGCCAAGCAGCGCAACACAAATAGGGAAGAAAAGGGAAATGTTATTCTCTTGCACATTCAAAAAAAAGAATAAGTAAGCCTTATTTTCAACCTTAGTCGAGTCCAAGTCAAGTCTTTAACAAATTGAGTCTGAGCCAAGACCGAGTCCAATGGGTGGACCAGTCCAAGACAAGTTTGAGTCCATTAACGGAATTAATTAGTGAAGTCTGAGTCCCACAGAGGAGCGAGTCCGAGACGAGACCGAGTCCATTAACAGGACTTGGTTGTTAAGCTTGAGTCCAATAGGGGGGCTAGTTTGACATAGGACCAAGTCCATTAACAGGACTGGGTAATCAAGTATGAGTCCGACAGGGGGGCAAGTTCGAGACGAGACCGAGTCCATTAACAGGACTGGGTAGTCAAGTATGAGTCCGACATGGGGGTGAGTCTGAGACGAGACCAAGTCCATTAACAGGACTGGGTAGTCAAGTATGAGTTCAACAGGGGGGCGAGTCCGAGACGAGACCAAGTCCATTAACAGGACTAGGTGTTGGAGTATGAGTTCAACAGGGGGGCGAGTCCGAGACGAGACTGGGTGGCCGAGTCTGAATCCGAGAGCAAATCCAGAAAAACACTAGCTCAATTCTAGACTATAAATCTAAATTCAAAAACCATAAAATTAAGACTAAATAAATCACTCAAATATTAAAAAATAGAAATTATTATTTTCAACTAAGAAATAAATGACTTGTCAAACACTAAGGTAACAGAAACACACTTCCACCGGATCCTGTAGTAGTTATTCATTTCATTGTAACATGACTATAACCTGAACACTTTTAAAAATGATTCTGGAGCCAAATAATATACATAAAACAATACAAAATTCATTTGAAAGGCATTTTTATTTAACAAACCTTTTATGAAATGTATGCACAGTGCAGCTAAAGATGAAGTGCACACACAATAATGTAACACTATGTATGATATCTAGGGTTGTAAAGGTTCATTCACTGACATGCTGCAGTGTGGGTAGACACACAAATTAACAGTGCCAGCACATGAATGTCTGAGATGTAGGACGGCAGGGTAATGCTCATAAAAATTCTTGAGGAAGCGATACTTGATAATCTTTGAACTATGATGCTTTAGGGAAAAGCTCCTCTTCCTAGTGCAAAAAAGTTCTTCTTTCCGCTAGATATGGTAGCAGTGGTCAAGACTCAGGTGTACCTAACTAGCTAGCTAAGCAAACTAAAGTTAGGCTTAGAGAGCCAAGATACATTCATTCACAAATTGTTATCAGCTGAAATTCATTAAAAATTCAGACCGGCTTCGGTCCAATGTGTCAATACTGCCGGCCGATATTTACTCTTTATCATTATTCAAAGTAAGCAGCATCAGTCCTAAAGACAATACTAATAAAAAAATTAAGAAGATTGCATTAGGTGATCAGTAATTTTCAGTAATGGAGGACAAGGGACAGTATTTTGAAAATACTGTCAAAATACAATATACCACAGTGTAATGTCTGGACAGTATAACGGTATGAAAAATTAAATACAGTGGTACCTCAGAACTCAAACTTAATCCGTTCAGAACTCCCCATTGAATCCTAAAAAGTTCGAGTTCTGAATGAATTTTCCCCATAAGAAATAATGGAAAACCAATTAATTAGTTCCAGGTGTTATGCCAAAAAAGGCATCCCTGCCATAGAATGCATGCCGATGTTCTGACAAGTTGAGCTTTTAGTGTTTTTTTGGGGGTTAGGGTTTTTTTGGAGGCTAGGGTTAGGGTTTTAGGGGTGTTTTGGGGGTTAGGGTTGGGGTTTTAGGGGTGTTTTGGGGGTTAGGGTTTTAGGGGTGTTTTGGGGGTTAGGGTTATGGTTAAGGCTATCGATTAGCAATACGGTAGCCTAACTCGACAAAGTAGCTCAACTCGTTTCAGATCAGCGACCAATCGGTCATTTAGAGACAGGCAGGCATTCTACGACAGGGATGCCTTTTTCGGCATAACACCGGCCCCCAAAAATTATCCTGAAATATGTTTTTTTAGCATTTAAACACAAAATGAACTGGATAAAACAAGAAGAGCATATACTCTACTAAACACATATACAGTAAGCACATTTATCAAAATAGTGATTTTTAAAGTAAGAAAATAAATGTATCCAAA